AGGTTGCTTGGTTCCACAATCAACAGTCTTGGTACCAGCAGCCAGGAAATGAAGAGACAAATTGCATTGAGAAAGTCGGCTGTGAGGGACCTCTCCAGAGAATTGAAAAGCAATGACGGTCAGGCTGGAGACTAAGTGCACATGATCTGGGCCATAGACTTTGCAATTGCATGATGTGCATCAGAGAGCTGGACAGTAGCTAGAGATGATAGAAAGAGAATTGATGCCTTTGAGCTATGTTGCTGGAGAAGCGTGTTGAATATACCATGGACTGCTAGGAGAACAAACAGGTTCATCCTAGAGAGCATTAAACCAAGACAGACTTTGGACATGTTGCAAGAAGGGACCAGTCCTTGGAGAGGGACATCATGCTTGGAAGGGTGGAGAGACAGCACAAGAGAAGAAGACCCTCAATGAGATGGATCAATTCAGTGATTGGGGTAATGGAGGTAGGTGTGTTGGAGACAGTGAGGTTGGCACAGGATAGAGCAGGGTTTAGGGCTGTGTACTTAGGGTCACTATGAGTCACAAGCTACTCGACGGCACATAACAGCAACAACAGAAGTATCTGCCACACAGTATGGTGATCACTGAGTTTTTGTTGTTGTTAAGCATGTACATGGTAAAACACCAACTCTACATGTACATCTCAGAGACACTGAGCATGTTTGAGTTAGACAGCTATTCTCTCCCTCCTTTTCCTAGTTGTTTCTCATTCATTAACATAATCAGTCAATATGTGACAGTTCATATTATCTTCAAATAGCCCTGCTAGAAGATTCTTTATTTTGGAAGTAATGCTTTTGAAGATCTTTACAGATAAAGATCTTACAGAGGATAGTTGAAATAGAGAAAAACTTGAACTTTCAGTTGAGTCCTGACTTGTAAGTTCTGCCTCACCTTTCTCATCTTTGAAGACACTGTTAGCTACTGCTTACAACTCTTTGGGAGCTTTATAGTGTATAGTAATATAGGATTCTCTCACTTCTGGAAAGTATGGTAAGAAACTGTGCTGCAATCTCGAAGGTATGCAGTTTGAATCCATCAGCTGCTTCATGAAGGATGGACAGTCTCCTACTATGCAATTAGTTGTCTCTAGAAACCTGCTGGAGAATCAGCTATTATTGGTTCTGAATCAACAGTAATCCTTCCTAGGTCTCATCAATCTTCACACTGTTAGTTTCTACTCTGTGATTTGTTTTTAAAGTATCATGTTTTAGGTGAAAGTTCACACAACAACAAACAGCAAATTAGATTCCTATTTAATAGTATTTATGCAAATCATCTAATGACATTGGTTATAGTTTTCTCAGTGTGCCATCAACAGTCACACTCTACCTATTCTGTTTGAAACGTCTTCAGTTTTCTGGCATTCCAGCCCTTTCTTGTCTTCTTATCTTTACTCTTAGGTAAATATGACAGTTTCTACTATGTATTAAAGATTTCACTAACAGAAAGATAGGGAAATTGTATAGGAGAAAAAGTCACAAGATCTAGCCTTCATTTGGAAGACTATAGGAATTGAAACAGATTGATAAGAATTTCATTAAAGGATAGATTGTGTGCAGCAGATGTAAAGTATTTGCATTTTAATTTGAAAGTGAGATAGCACTGATATATTCCATTAAGTGTCCCCAAGAGGCTGTGGCAAGAATCTCAATGAAAACAAGAATACAGCTGCCTGGATTTCCATGAGCTCTAGTCTTAGCTGCCAGTGTACCTCAGTTTTGCCACTTTCTGTTGTTGTTGCTGTTGTTGGAATTATTTTCATGTAAACCAGTGCTTAGACTCAGCAGTCATTTCTGTGTTCTGAATTAGTGAATAAAACTGTCAGCAGTCTACCTTTGAGTGCCTTATTTCTTCAAAATACTATTGATACATCATTTTCCTTTCAGTTGTCTTTAAATCACAGTAAGTGTATAATATCAAAAGGATCAGGGGTTTTTATACTGGTGCTTTATCTCCAAAAGGGTGAGATTCATTTAATTGACCCCTGTCCCTGAAGAATAACAAAACCAAGAATCTCTTGTATATTTTGTCTAGACTTCAGTACTGTTATTTGTTAAATAGAAAAATACTTTTATCAGCAGCTTTTTCTAAACTATTTTCTTATTTTAAATTTTATATTGAAAGTAACTTTCTGTAATGACTAACTTCATACTAGATACCTTGTAGATGTTCCGTAAATACTAATTGGTTAAATAAGATAAATTGGAAACTAGTGACATATCATTTGATCTTACTATCATTTTGTGCAGTGGATATTTTAGAGATGATCATAACGAGTTCTTTTTATTACAAGTAATACATCCTCAACAGTTTCTTCAGCTTTACTAAGGAAAGGAAACCGGGTTTACTATTAATTCTTTTTTAAAACCCTGTTTTAGATTTATTTACTTTTTAAAAACCCTGTTTTATATTTATTTACTAAGTAAAGCACATGCTATATTATTATGTATGAATATGCATATTTAATATAGTATTTGGTGATAAATGTATGCTTCCTGGAGTTATATTCATTATATTCGGAGAATTCTCTCAGAAACAAGCCCATTCATGTACCTTTCTCTCTCTCTCTCTCTCTCTCTCTCTCGCGCTCTTTCTTATCTATCTATCTATCTATCTATCTATCTATCTATCTATCTATCTTATCTATCAAAATCATCATTCTTAAAATAAAGATTGGGGTTGGGGGTTAAAAAGAAAAACCTTGGTATAGGTAATCCTCACTGAAACTGAGGAGGACCTCATGCACTTACTGCAGAGGGTCAAGGACTGCAGCCTTCAATATGGACTGAGGCTCAATGTCTAGAAGACAAAAATTCTCACCACTGGACCAATTGGTAGCATCAGGATGGATGGCGAAGAGATTGAGATTGTTCACAGCTTCAGTTTGCTCGGCTCCACG